GCAGCACTGTATTGAATTGATTCAATCATAGAAATTAAGTATTTTTGATTTGGAGACCAAACAGATGAAGGGAACTCATGTTGAGGACGGACGTACGTTAAATAGGCTAGTTTACGGACATTCGTAGGGCAGTGTTTAAAATTAGAACGTAAGTATTCCAAGGTTCTGGAGGCTTTTGCACAAACAGTAGTTATATGCAGGGACCAAGAAAGATTGTGAGTTATATGCACGCCCAGATACTTGTATGAGGAAGCTTGGGAGACAGGTAAGTTGTTTAGGATATATTTAAAGGTGGAAGTGTTACACTTGCGACTGAATGATACAAACTTGCATTTGGACAGGTTAAGGGACATAAGCCAGATTTCACACCAATGCGAAATAGCGTTAAGATCGTTTTGTAGAGCTATGTGGTCAGCTTCGTTCGTGATGACGTGGTAAACAATACAGTCATCCGCGAATAAACGCATTCTGGATGATATATTATGTGGTAAGTCATTAATATATATCAAGAATGAAAGGGGTCCGAGAACACTACCCTGAGGAACACCAGAAGTTACATGACAACGGGTAGAGGTAAAAATATTAACTAATGTAAAATGTTGACGGAGAGACAGGAAGTTACGTATCCAAATTAAAAATAGTGAGTAGTTTAAGGGCTGATAATTTTGATATTAGTCGACAACTGCGCTATGCGATCGAAGGCTTTTGAGAAATCCAGGAATATACAGTCAGTCTGCTGATTAGCGTCCATGATAAAGTGCAAGTCGGTAGTAAATTCTAGCAATTGCGAGTCACAAAAAGTATTTTCGGAATCCATACTGGTTGGGGAAGAAGAACTTATTACTTGCAAGATGACTGAAAACATGCGACGTAATAATGTGTTCAAGCATCTTACAACAGATGCATGTGAGGGCTATTTAACGATAATTATCTGGCGAGTGCTTGTTTCCATTTTTAAAAATAGGGATGACTTTAGAAACCTTCCAATCGGCTGGTAGGTTCCCGACTCTAAGGATTGATTAAATAAATAGCATAATATCTGACTTGAAATTAATGAGCTGTTTACAGTATTTTTGAATTGATGTTATCAAGGCTGGACAGATGTAGACACCTTGAGGTTAGCAATGAACGTGAAATGCATCAACAGTAATGGTAATAGGCTCCATATAACGCCAGTCCTGTTCCGGTACAAATGTACATTGCAGTGGTCTTCACGTGTAAACACAGAAGAAAAAAAAATTATTAAACAGTGCTGCACACTCGCTAGCAGACAGTGGGGCTTGGTTATCATCGTGCAATGAAATGTGATGATAATCCTTCTCAGGTGCAATAGTCCGCCAAAACTTTTTGGGATTGTGCTGAAGAAGAGAGGGCAAGTCGTTACAATAGTACTATTTTTTTTGCGTCACATATTGCACTGGCGTAAGTTTTTAGGAATTATTTGTATTTTATGAAAGCCGTAGGATTGGAACCACATTTTGTTGCCCTATACAAGCGTTTTTTCGTGTTCCGTAATGTTCTATGTAGTGTTCCGATCGATTGAACCAAGGATTAGTCTTGTCATTTGTAATGGTTATTAATGGAACATAAAGATCGATCAAAGTAGCCATATAATTCCTGTAGAGTACCCAATTTGCTTCGATTGTACGGTCATTGAAATTGGGCAGAAATTTTTCAGTGAAAAAAATGTTCTAGATTCGAGTTCATTTCAACGTAATTGGCCCTGCTGAAGTCGCGAATTTTTTTCGTAATGGTGCTGGCGTGAGCAAGTGGGATGCGAAGTGATAGCTGGATTAATTTGTGTTCAGAGAAGCCATGCAGGCAAGATATCGTATCAACCGTTTCGGGTGCAGTAGTTAAGATGAGATTGAGTGTATTAGATTCCCGAGTGGGTTCATTGACTACCTGGAACAAATTGAAATCTAACGAAAAGCCAAGAAAATCAGTTGAGTTTTGATATGGCAAAGACAATGTAAGCCAGTCTATTTTAGGAAAGTTCAAGTCACCGAGAAGATATACATCATCTGAAGAAAAACTGTGGGTTGCCATTTCAAAGCTCTGTCGAAGCTTGCCCGCAAACTTTGGATCGGCTGCTGGTGGGTGGTAAGAGGCACCAAACAGTATTTTTTTGTTGTAGTCCTGCATCCTGCCCACACTATCTCAAGGGATGAGTTGTAGGAATCGAGAACGAAGACAGCGATTTCTTAATGCCTATCAGTACACCGCCTCCACGTCGTCCCACGTGATCTCGCCGATAGATGTTGTAGTTATTGAAGCCAGGAAAAATTTCACTATCGCGCACCTCTGGGTGCAGCCAAGTTTCAGTTAGAACTACGACATCCGTGTCATTATCTTCTAATAAAGGACAAAGGGATTCGCGTTTTGGCAATAAACTACGTATGTTAGTAAGGGTGGCGTGAAGCTAATGTAGCGGGAGAGGGTTTAGTGCAATCTTGCTCACACTTCTTTCTTGGCTATCTTTGCAATTCCACGACAGAATCGGTTTCATGCACATAAATATACGTTGCCTTTCCAGTGTGCAGCTTGAGAGTTTGAACGGCTTTTTTAGCAGCCTCGCAAAATCAAGAAGCTTTTTCCTGGCTTGCCGAGTACCGAGCAAAAAATCTTCCCCGATAGAGTAATCCGTATCCTTCAGCTTTGGGGCAGCCAACAAAATTACCTGTTTGTCTTTGAATGAGGTGAGTTTCGCTATTATTGGTCTGGTTTGATTAGCCGAGAACCTGCCGAGGCGATGCACCCGCTCAAACTGATCGGCTTTAAGGGAGACACCAAGGTGCGCAGAACAGAAGTTGATCACATTTTGTTCAGATGCCGCCCAATCTTCCTTTTCGTCATCCTCTAAGCGAAAGAACAGAATATTCGACCGCCTCGGCCGGTTTTCAGCATCCTTGCACCTAGCCGATAAAATCCGTAATTGATCATTTACGTCACGAGCTGGGCTCACTGACGGAAATGTTTCAGCATAGTTGGTGACACCGAGCGAATCGGAGACAACCGTTGTGTCAAATTTCATGACCCTTGTAGTCAAGCCTTGGATTTCACGGTCAGTAGCTTCCTGTTTTTCGTTGACACCTTTCAATTCACTCGAAATCGTCGCCTGCCCAGACTCAAGTGTATGCATTGATTCAAGCAAGGTAGTCATGATTTCATCACCAGGACCCGGATTCACCTCAAAGTCACCAAAAAGTAACAACAGCAGACTGCACAACCGAACACAGATACATGACTGCAGCACGAATCATTTAAGCTTAACGTACACATCTAGGGGATCAAAGGGGCACGGCACCGCAACTAAACAGTAATTACTGCTCTTCACGCAGGTAGCATGGCCTAGGTAACTAACCTGGAAAAAGTGGTGCAATGAGCGTTGCATTTCCGGTGGGCGTTTAAGTAGTCCGCTTGCAACGCAGATAACTGAAGTTCCGTGTGAAGGTCCGGGTTGCCAGATGGTAGATCCGATGCTTGATTTTCCAGCCTCGCTCTCTCCTGGAACCAGGATTCATGGCCTTGCACATCGTAACCAGATTTTCTGGGGTGGAAAAAACCAATTCTACGTCACACTTGATAGCCGCTTTTTTGAGGTTGTGGGTGACGCCGTGGATATGGGAAATAACAACAAAGTTTCATTTGTCCTGTCCGTATCATCGTACAGACATATGGAAACCCAGAATATCTCAATCTCCGATATTACTTGAGCTATTCAGGAATGCTCTTCACCTTTGGCTATGTAAATGTTTTGAGTTATTGAGATTTTTTAAAGCATTGCTTTCATTTAAATATTATGCAGTGTTCTTACAGTGGTATCTTTGCAGTTTATATTGGTTCACTGTTTGTCTTTCATGTCCCTGCATCTGCACTGTGTCTTACCAGAGCACCAGATTCAATAGAGAAAAAGCTTTGTCAAAAAAATGCTGCATAAATTGTGTTTCACAGTTAAACCCACTTACAATGATGCCGGTGTTTGACAATGTATCAGTTATTACAATCAAAAGCTGCTGTACAGTCAACTTCTATATGTTTTCTATAGTGAATTAACCTGCTTACAGCAATGCCCGCTTACCTTGCCGCGATGGTCCAGTGGCTAAGGTACTCAGCTGCTGACCCGCAGGTCGTGGGATCAAATCCCGACTGCGGCAGCTGCATTTTCAATGGAGGTGAAAATGCTGTAGACCTATGTGCTCAGATTTGGGTGCACGTTAAGAAACCTCAGTTGGTCGAAATTTCCGGAGTCTTCCACTACGGCGTCTCTCATAATCATATAGTGGTTTTGGGACGTTAAACCCCAGATATCAATCAATCTTTGAAGCAATGTCTGCTTGCTGCATTATCAGTTGAAACAGTGAATTCTGGCTGTTAGGTGTCGATGCTTAAGGGTTAAGGAATGCAAAATCATCGAAAAGAAAGACTGAAACAAGAAATTCAAGTGACTGATCCCCACCTCTCACGCCCACAACCCCAACGTTCCCCAGCACCCCTTCGGATTCGTGGTAAGCAATACTGCATTGGTGATCTGGCACTGCGGCAAAGCTCTTCGAAATCCAATCAATACACTTTCCGGCATGCAGTTTGAAATCAGCATGCAGAAATGAAAATTTGGAAGCATTTCGGCATCTTAAACTCGCGTCGTTACCATACATTGGATCTATGTGGCATGTGGCCGTCCTGTGAGAGCATCCAAGTTTTCAACCATGTCCAAAAAATCAGCTGCTTTGTCATCCTTATCGTTGATCTCTGTTGGCATATCTCATCTGGTATCATAGTTTACACACAACAGCCTGTCATCCTCCTATTTTGCATTTATTTTCATGCCACCCGTTTAGTATACCAATTATCAGTTATAGCAATTAAATTTTTGTGGCACTTGAGTATTGTTATAAGCGAGTTCGACTGTGTGTGCAGAAGCTATATGTGTGCTTTGCTTTGCTTATTTTAAGAAAATATTTGTTGCGTTACTTACTACTCATTCCTTTTCACCTCAGGATATACGAGGTCATGAAGGCCAACCTCACTGCCGTTGGCAAAGCAAACGATGCCTCCAGCTTCTTGAGCGCCCATTTCATTACCCGACCCGACATCAAAGACATCTACTTTGATGACTTTGTGGTCTGGCTGCAGAACGTAAGTGATCTTGTGGCTTTCTCTGAAGCTGTTACCTCTAGTTAACAAGAATGAGAAAAGTACTCATAATGTTGTGTCTTTCTTAAATTTCCACATGCAAAGCAGTCATTGTGTGGAGAAGTACATAACTGTGATATTTCTTCTAAATCGTTGCTATGCTAACGTTTATTCTAGGCTTGCATGAATAGTAAGTTTTCTTTTTGAGGCGAATAGTGATTTGGTTCAAATATTATATATCACATATTATAAAGAAAAATGGGCATATTTCTCATAACCCGACTAACCTGTACAGTATAAACAAAAATTGCAAATGCTTGATACAAGATGCTTGAAATTGCTCCTGTACTTCATGAACAGAGTATTTTGTTAGGTATGGGTTGGCTAATACATCTCTGAAAAGGAATCACAAAGCTTCTATGATGGGACAAAAGAAGAGCAGTAACAATTACAACTAGGGGTGTGCGAGTATTCAACAGTTTCTATCATTTTTTTTTTCGATATAGTGTTTACTATTCGATTCGCACTGGAGTTTAATTATTCAACTATTCGAATTTCTTAATGACATATTCAGTCAACGTAGGATTGAAAGTGACCCCTTCAGGATTTGTAATACTACAGGTTCACGTCATATTGCGGCAAGGTTGCCTTTTAGGCTTCTCTGTGGCCGAACTTCTAGAGAGAAAATATAATCAATCATCAGATTGGCAATGGCCCCTTTCAGATTTTTAATATGTTTCACCTCATCGCACTCTTGTATTGTCTAAAGTTGTGCTGCAGTTGCAAATGTATTGGCTCAAGGAAATGCAAATTTCTACACGAAGATGATAGATGTGGCAGAAGTTGTAGCTCAATTACTGTGGTTTTGGACCAGGAATCCGGGCAGCAAGTCTGAGATATTGGATGCCGAAGATTATTAGCATCCGCAATAGCAGTTGTTTTTATATATTGATGTCTGTGAGGCACATTTTGAAATCCGGAATCAGAAAGAACGCACCCTTGTCACCACATCAGTTGGGCTCTCGTAGAAATTGGAAAAGGTGGAGAGGCTTAGGAAATAGAACCTTTGCCTTTCACGTGTAAAATGTTGCAGGCAACACTTTGGTCGCACCAAATCATGTACATAAATACAGTTTGGCTTCTGCATTGCCTCATTCCTGATAAGACAACTATCACCGGCGCTTCATCAACTTAGTGAAATAAAACATTTTTATTTTGCTACTTTATAAGAATATGCTTAGGAACCCTCGACAACTTTTTCTCTAATATCTCTTGAAGCATTCAAAAAGTATTCTAGAAAATTTCAAGAAATATTCTATTTGATTCGCGCTCACACTTCAATATTCGAATTCGCTTCACGCTTAGAGTTTTGCTACTTGCACGCAGCATAGAACTGTTATTTTTTTCTTTGTCCTACTTGAAGTGCTGCTTGATGCCATTCAAATATATTAATGAAGTTTATTGTTATCAAATGTTGCATACATAATTTTCAGTAAAACATTAACATTCTGAATTTTTTTTTGTAAGTATTGTTCACTTTCTCATGCAGTTGGTACTAGTTGAAACAGCGTCTTTTCAAGGGATCTTGAAACTGTTTTGACTATCACTTACCAACCCATTGATTAAAGGAGTGGTGACAAAAAACTTGTGAACCTTTTTTTTTTTTTTGTTCTTAATTCGTGACTACTGGCTCATTTATAGCAACAACAAAGCTCCTTTGCCGCGCTGCAAGACGAATGTTCAATTACCCTTCTCTTCTCTGCAGGTTGCCGCATTCAACCTGCAGAGAAGAGCTCACGCAGCAAGAAAGACAAAGTTCTTGCCCAGTCCTCTTTACGAGTGCCTTGCATTTAATTAAAGTGAGCTCTCCTATATCCAACTTCTGCTGTGTCTGCGTCGTGACACTGGTGAAGGAGCTGGGTACATGTCCAGGACACCTTCAAACAGCCCGGGATATAGTCCACAAAGACTGCCGCTCGTCGAAACACCGCGCCAGCCGCTGTCTGTTCGGCCTGAGTCCAGAGTTCGGTCCTTGGACGAAAAACATTACCGCGCCTGGAAACAGTAGCCCCGCCATGACCAGCCCAAGCACGACACAGGTGACTGTTTTCACCCCTAATATTTCTGCGGACTTCCACGGCAACACATATAAGGACGCAGATGACTGGCTTGAGAAGTTCGAGCGCATAGCCAACGTTAACAGGTGGAACGCTGCACAGAAGTTGAAGTATGTGTATTTCCCTCTTCAGGAAGGGGCTCGCACATGGTTTACGAATCGCGTGTGGTCAACGTGAGACGAGCTCCGGTGGAAGTTCCTGGACACCTTCGTCAACACCGAAAGGCGGGAGCATGCACAACGACTCCTCGAATCACGGATTCAAAAGCCAAACAAATCTGTTGCTATGTTTGTTGAGGACATGGCTCGTCTCTTCCATTGAGCCGATCCCAATAAGTCCGAGAGCAGAAATATCAGCCACCTCATGCATGGTGTTAAAGAGCAGCTCTTTGCTGGTCTCGTGCGGAACCCACCTTCAAGCGTCAGCGAATTTTTGAAGAAGGCGACCGCCATCGAACGCGCACTGCAGCTACGCTGCCGCCAGTACGATCGCCCAAACAACAGCGGACAAATCAGCGCAGCTGCCGTGACCACTGTGACACCTGACGAGCATTCTTTGCATGACCTGATACGGGAAATTGTGAAAGAAGAGGTGAAGAAACTCGCCGCCACACCGAATGACTGCGCGATTGCGTTGGTCACAGAAGTTGTGCGCCAAGAGATAAGGCAAGCGCTTTCACTTCTTGAGCCAAACACTGACATGGTTAGGCCAACCCATGCAGATATTCTTCGTCGACAGCCATCTAATGTGCCGCCGCCTCAGCAGTACCACCAGCAACAGTCACCGACAGTGCCTTGATACTACGGGGAAACGTCGATGCCGATGCGACCTCCACTCCGCAAAACCAATATCTGGCGTACTCCTGACTACAGGCCCTTGTGCTTCCATTGTGGGGAAACAGGCCACATCGTGTATTGTCCTCATTGCGTCGCCGGGTGCCAAGGATTTCCGTCCACTACCCCTCGGCGTATTTCCAACGGAAGAAGCAACGTTGATACGAGCGCGACGATCCCGCGGGACGTTTCTCCTGGCATTCGGTCACGCTCGCCCTCTCCTGGTCATTTTCCCCAATCTAGTACAGGTAACACCACGGACATGGCGAGAGGAAGATATTTCAGTCCACACCGGGGAAACTAAAAGCAGCGACCTTAGGGAGGAAGGTTGAGAATTACCGAAGAGTTGATAATCCCCCATTACCGCCGCATGAAGTGCCGAACGTTTTGAATGAATCGATGAAAAATGAGATTTTCACCGCCGACATCATACTTTCAATTGACCGTCACGACGTGATGGCACTGGTCGACACTGGTGCGGACTTTTCAATAATGAGCGCGAATCTGGCCGACAATCTCAAGAAGGTGAAAATGGAATGGACGGGACCGCAAATTAGAGGAGCTAGAGGCAAGCTGCTGACGCCTTCCGGAAAGTGCACCGTGCGAATCAAGATCAGGGATTTATCATTCGTCGCAACCTTCGTTATTCTTTCTGAGTGTTGTGAACAGGCCATCTTGGTTATGAATTTCTTGTGGGAGTACGGTGCCATCATAAATATAACGGACGGTGTACTGACCTTCTCAGCGGACCATAGCGCAGCGCTGCAGCGCAAGCCCATGCGCGTCATTGATGACGTGACCATGCCACCATTATCATGCCACCTCGTCTCTGTCACGTGTGACACGCAGCATACTGGAGAAGGTGTCGCGGAACGAGTATCGACGCTTTTACTCTCTCGGGGGAACTGCTATTGCCAGCAGTGTAGTGTCTGGGCAAGCAGAGGCCCTGTTGATGAACTTCAGCAATGAGCATCGACACATTACAGAGGGTACTACAATTGCATACTTCAAAGAAAGTGTAGAATTCCGCGAGTGCTTCCCAGTGCAACAGGCAGAGACGCCAGCCGCTTCAACACCACCACCTTAGGACGTGAGCACAGATTTATCATCAGTGCAGAGGCAGAGTGTTCTAGATGTTCTCAGCCAGTTCAAAGATTGTTTTTCATCGACCTCGAGGATAAATCAAACGCCACTGACAGAGCACCGAATTATAATGGAAGAGACGGCAAGACCAATTCGACAAAACCCATACCGCGGGGCACCGAAAGAACACGAAGAAATTCAAGAACAAGTCCGGAAAAGGCTCGATGATGACATCATTTAGCCGTCAAAAAGCCCATGGGAATCACGGGTAGTGCTAGTTAAGAAGAAAGACCGCAGCTTACACTTCTGTGTGGACTATCGCAAGCGGAACCGCGTGACAAAGAAAGACGTATACTTATTACCGCGCATTGAAAATTCGCTTGACAGGCTGAGGCATGCACGCTTCTTCTCGTGGATGGACCTGAAAAGCGGACATTGACAAATCGACGTCGATGAGCGAGATGGAGAAAAGACTGTTTTTGTTATGCCTGAAGGGCTTTACAAGTTCAAAGACTTGCCCTTCAGATTCTGCTCAGCTCCAGCAACATTTCAGAGACTGATGGATACCGTCCTATCAGGCTTTAAGTGGCAGACGTGTCTGGTATACCTTGACGACGTCATTGTTTTCTCAGCAACATTCGAGGAGCATCTAAGACGGCCGCTATCAGTATTTCAAGCAATACGGTTCGCCGGCCTAACGCTGAAACCTGAAAAATGTCATTTCGGTTTCAAGGAACTCTGATTCCTAGGACATGTGGTGAGCCATGAAGGTGCTCGTCCGGACCCCGACAAGATCGATGCCATCCGAAAATTTCCGGTGCCAACGGATAAGAAGGCCGTAAGACGTTTTCTTGGACCCTGCGCCTACTACTGCAGATTTATTGCCAATTTCCCGCACATGGTGTCGCCCTTAACTCGCATAACGAGAGACGATGTTTCATTTTTATGGGGCAAAGAGGAACAAGCAGCATTTGACGATTTACGACAGCGCCTGCAGACACCACCTGCGCTTGCTCACTTTGACGAGGACGCTTTTACCATGATCCACACCAATGCCAGCAACGTAGGTTTAGGCGCTGTACTCGTCCAGTGGCAAGACTCAGCCAAACGAGTGATGGCATATGCAAGTAGGACGCTTTCCTGTGCTGAGTCCCATTATTCCACAACAAAAAAGGAATGCCTTGCTGTAGTGTTGGCAGTTATGAAGTTTTGCCCATACCTCTACGGCCATCCCTCACGTAGTCAGCGACCACCACTCCCTTTGCTGGCTGACCTACTTGAAGGACCCATCTGGTCGGCTAGCTCGCTTGAGCTTACGCCTTCAAGAATTCGATATGACGGTCGTCTATAAGTCGGGACGGCAGCACTCCGATGCTGATTGCTTATCCTAGTCACCTATAAAGCAAGACGATGTCTCAGAAGAGGATGAGATGGCATTTTTAGGAGTGGTCGACACGGTCACCATTTCGTCTAAGCAAAAAGAAGACAGTGATTTGCTTCCTCTTATTAATTTTCTTAACGACCAGTCTACAAGGGTTCCCAAGATATTTGCAGGAGCCTGCCATCATTTGTTTGTGCAGTGGTGTTCTATATAAGAACTTTTCCTCCAGTGGAAGTGCCCACTTACTTGTCCCAACATTCATTCGCGATGAGATCTTGAGCGCTTGCCACGAAGAGCGAACTTCCGGCCACTTAGGATACACGTGCGCATTGGCCAGAATCCAACAGAAGTACTACTGGCCGAAGCTTCCAGGCACTGTAAAGCATTACGTCTATTGTGCCTCGATTGTCAACGCCGAAAATCGCCACCTTTAAAACCAGCTGGATTGTTGCAACCAGTTCAAGTACCCACCGTGCCTTTTGCACAAATCGGAATGGACCTCCTTAGACCATTTCCGACTTCACATACTGGAAACAAGTGAGTAATTGTCGCTACCGACTATTTTACTGGCTACGCAGAAACAAAGTCTTTAGCAACCGGAACCGCAGTAGAACTGGCACGGTTTTTCGTTGAAAATACCGTTCTGTGGCATGGTGCTCCTAGGATTATAATAACGGACAGAGGTACCACTTTCACGGCCATGCTGCTTAAGTCAGTGCTTGAGTACAGTGGAACAGCGCATCGAAAAACTACCTTCTACCACCCAAAAACCAATGGCTTAACAGAAAGCCTCAACAAGACAATTGTCGATATGCTGAGTATGTACATCGACATGGATCATGAAAATTGGGACGAAGTTCTACCAGACGTGACGTTTGCCTATAATACGGCACAGCGGGAAACTACCTCAAGCATGCCATTTAGTCTTCTTTATGGTCGTGAAATGACGACAATGCTTGATGCCATGTCGCTGCACGACTGCGACGATACAGACACGGATGCTCAAGACTTTACCCAACTAGCTGAAGAGGCGCAGCAGCTAGCATGTGTGCGAATCTCCCGGCAGCAGAGTTATGATGCACAGCGTTATAACCTGTGACACCGATATGTTACTTATCAACCAGGCGAGAAAGTGTGGGTCTGGAGCCCTATTCGCCTACGCGGCCTTTCTGAAAAATTACTGAAGAAGTACTTTGGTCCCTGCAATGTTGTATAGCGCCTAAGTGACGTCAACTCTGAGGTCATCCCTGACAGTTCCTCGTGAACTTGCCAGCCAAAATCAGAAGTCGTACACGTGCGGATGAAGTCATATTTTAGTGAACCAGTTGCATAATACGTTGCAAATACACCGCATATTTTGTAACAGAACATCGGGACGATGCTCTTCCTAGAGGGAGGCAAATGCCGCATTCAACCTTCCAAGAAAGACGAAGTTCTTGCCCGGTCCTCTTTACGAGGGCCATGCATTTAATTAAAGTGAGCACTCCTATATCCGACTTCTGCTGTGTCTGCGTCGTGACAATATGCTCTGTGTTGTGACCAGAGGCAGTTTCGATTTCAAGGAGCACTCGGGGGGTTCCATGATGTAGTCAGCCTACTCGTTAACAAATACTAACAAGCGACCGCAAGAGCCAGTGATATCACTGGCCATCTTCAGCGGCATTGTCAGTGCTGCTGTTTCGTCTGTTCTTTTGAGCATTGTGACTGATTTTTGCCTCAATTGTGAAATCGCATTGATTATCTAGTGCAGCGATTGATGAAGGAGTTGGAATAAATGTAAAAAGATTAGTCTGGAAAGCTCGATTAACTTCGTGAATCTTGACGGTGGCTGTGATTTTGTTCTGGTCATCGTTGTCCAATTGTGGCGACATTTGCCATGAAATGAGGAGCAGCCACAGCATTAGGTGTGCTGAAACTCCTTTTCCGAAATCATTTGTAGTGCAGCTGGTTGCAAAGGGATGAAGGAAGCAATGAAATCACAATGATGGCGCTCTGTAACGGTGTTTATGTGTAAGTGAGGTGAGGTATATATGCTTTCCTGTCTCATATTTTTATCAGGCAACGCTGTGTTCTCAAGGCATACCGATCCGATATATGCATGTCGGAATGCCTAATCAGTAATCTGTTCACTACACAATATAATCCTGGCACTAGAGAGCTGTAGTTTGTTTGAGACTTTCTAAAGTTTCCAGATACTCCGTTGCTGTAGCTGCCGACTGATGACCCCACTTGATGACCTCGTCACTTTGTGCTTTTAATGCCAAATTGCTTTTTCACGAACTTCAAAATTCAATAAATAATGGCTGTTTTAAACATTACTGCTGTATCTTAGATACATGTTTTATGAATTGTTTCAAGATTCAAGATCAAGTAATAAAGAACAGAATAGAAAATTCAGTGCTAAAACGGATACTTTCTACACTGTATTTGTGGTTTTTATTGTACAGATGAGACCTATGTGTTCCCATTAGTGCAGCGTAAGAGTCCACATGTGTCCGAATTTTCGTGTCACCGCTCCTTTAAATGCGCAAAATCCTTTGGATCCTTGGAAGCTCTGCACTATAGTAGTTGCCTGTAAATATAAGTTTATATGGTACTGATAGGACATTTATTTTATTTCTTTGGTATGTAGTGTTGATGCTCTTCATACACTGAATTCAGGCAACACGTATACAGTCTTTTGCTTTGCCATTAATTTTTCATTGCCAAGCATCCAAAAGTCAGCTCCTTAGCAATGGATGTTATCCCAGCGAGTCAACACAATTCCACTCAGTTTTCGAACTCTGCATCCTGCATGTGGCCTGAATCACAGAAGTCACGGTTGGGGTCGCTGAATGATAAATAACTCGTTCATGTGCACTATGAGCAGATGATGGATCTGTTGCCTAAGAATAATTACACACTCCGCCCCCAGTACTACAGCATGCCTGTCATTCATTTGTATAACAGAGCAATGATTTGCAATTTCGGTTCAAACCATAAGCACATTTTTTCTGGCAATGCAAACACTAAGTGTATTATAAATTGAAAGTTTCGTCCTTACTTGTTGATACAGTTTTGCAGAGCAGTGAAGTCAAAATTTTTTATGAAAGTTGCCGAGAAGTAAACTTTTTCTACTCCAAAACTAGCAAGCATGAGGCTGTACGATCAAGTGATAGGCCTGAAATCCATGAGAATCTGCCTGACGTCATGTAAATAACCGACTGTACTTATTAAGACACTTATGCAAATTCTGCCTCGGTTGGGCGGTGACCTCTGTGGGTGGAGCTTACATCTATTCTTAGGCTGTAACCGACCATAGTACGTTGCGAGTTGCTGTCTCCACGCGACCTCACACTGCAGTGACACGTCACTAAGAAGCCACCCTCTTGATATTATAACTGAAAGTGTATTTAAGGTAGCTGCATTAAAAATATATTCAATGCATTCCCAGTTACCACAATATTCTCTTTAGGGTTCTTGACAGCATCTTATTTAAAGCAAGAATTCAAAAATATCTGAAATTTGTATTGGTATTTATTTTAACAACAAATTCATGCAAGATGGGTATCATACATAGCTCAACCAACTTTTCCTGCTCTTGTTTCTTTAACAGCAAATTGACCTGGAGAAAGAGGTGACAACGACAAACGTACTGTCAGCGCTCGCCATGATTTTCAAGATCGCCAAGCGAGATGTCGTCATGAAGCATGCCCACAGCGTAATGAACGTGCTGGCTGAAAAGAAGTTATTTCAGTGCAATAACTTTCTCATTGAAAAGCTTGCATTGAAGCTGTGTCAAAGGATTGGTGAGTGGTGTTATTTGTTCTTTTGCCCCTTTTTTTCCTATCTCACTTTTTGAATTTGCACCTGAGACAATGTGTGTTAATACCTTGCCCTCCATTCGCTGCTCGTTGTGTGGCCATACAGGGAAAGGTAACACCCAGAAACTAGAACCAGTATTGGTTTAATGTTACAACTATGAAAATTTTCATGTTCTTCTTTCCGACTAGCCGTAAAAATGGAATCCACTGCACCCATTTATCACAAGTACCAAATTTAGTTGTAAAATTGAAGGTACTAAATGCTAGAGTTGTTAGAACTGCATGCTTTACCATTCCCTTCTGCAGAATCATTTTTGGCTGCCTCTTCTGGAAACAAGCAAGAACATGGGTTCTTTGCACCCGTTTCTACCATTCTAAAATATTTATAAATGCAAAGTTGTGTGTTTGTGTGTGTTCTCTATAACAATGTATGAAAAAAGCATTGTGTAGTTAAGAGAAAACAGAGTAAAAGATGGGGTGCCAGAAAAAAACAACAACGTATGACTCCTCTGCTGTTGTGAAACCTGAGGAAATGCATCGCATGGGCACCCGGCGATTCCCATTTGTACAGTTTCCACTACTCCGTTTACCACAGCGTCGATGACGTCTGTGCTTCAGGTAAGCATGTAGGGTTTGGTTGGTTCGAGGAGATTCTTGTTAGGCAGATTCACAAGCTCGGCCTGCGACATGTGCTCTACTTTTTGCTGCGCTTCATCGACTTCCTGCTTGTTACGGCAGTTTGAATATATGCATTGTCTGCAGCGAGTTCCATCAGGTTGTTCCCCCCCCCCCCCCCCCGCATAAGATAAAGTAACCGATTTACTTGTCTGACAAAGCATCTGAAGGCCTGCTTCTGCATGCGCTGCTCAGGCTAGCCATTTCCAAAACCTCCAGGATTTCTCGCGTCAGCTGGTCTCAAGAAAGTGTGACAACCACACAGTTATGAAACTTAGAAATCCAGCTCAGCAAGCCATGAAGTTACTGGTGGCAGGTCTGTTTGCTTCCGAGATTCAAACTTAACGCTCTATTCCAACCATATTTGTTGGGCATATGAACCACGAGCTAACAAGCCATGGCTCTCTTTTGAGTCTGGCAACTTGTAAAGTTGTAACAAGGTCGATAGTGAAGACTTGCTTCACACACGCTTTGCAAGAGCCCTGCTATCGCAAGATCCAGATCAGACTTATTATGCAGGCTAAACATCTCACCAACGCTAGATTTCCTTTTCTCATATCAAAACTTGCGTTTTTAGCATTGCATCTCACCTAAAATCCAGAAAAAGTGCTGCTACTAATAATACCGACAAAAAGTGCTGAAATCTGATGTGAAGCATACCGCTTCAACTCAGCAGATTTTAATTCATTAGTTGGTGCTTTAAGGGAGCCCGCAACACTTTCCTGAACTTATAATGGAATAATCTAACTCTTAGTGCACAACACTTCACAGATCACATGCGGCAAAAATTTTTACAATCCGTCGAGAACTGCCGGAGTTAAAGGTACTACTTGTCGCACGCTTAAAGTGCTTTTCTCTCTCATTTTGTGCCAGCAAGCGCGTTGAAAGTTATGCAATGAGGGAAATAACAAGCGGGTAAGAAGATTCATTTCGGCATCAGTGCACATTATGTCCTCGAGCACTTTTACACTGACAAACATTAAATTGATTCAGAAAGAATGTTTAGTTCACCAATTTTTTTCTGTCTGGGTGCCACTTTGCAGTGTTGGCAGGGTATATGGCTCGGAATTTTGGGCACATAGCATTGTTTGTAGAGAGGGAGCGATTTTTAGCTGATTCTGAGAATTATAAATTCTACGCCCTGTGCCGCGCTGTTGAGTTTGACTCGTGTGCTCATGGAGCCTCGACTGCTAGTCGGCAGCGTTTTTGGACAGTGCTCAGGAAGTCTTGCAGGGCCCCTTTAATATTTGACGGAAGTCTGGCTTTTCTTTTGTGCCTCTGCCAAAACCAGACCATTTTAGAGCGCTCAGACAGCCTGGTGGCTGTCCTCATCACCAAAATCTTTGACATACCTCCTGGGTATTACCAGTTCACTAGTATTATCAGGCAGTGTATCAGGCAGGAACGTTGCCGGAAGGACATGTGAAAAAGAGGATCTTAATAACATGGGCATCTGTAGATCCTTCGCTAGTATCGTGTGGCAGAAAAACGTGTGAGGAACATTGAAGTGAGCTCTACAGCAATAAACTTTTTGTGATGCTTTTGTTGTACTTGCAGGCCTCTGCTTTCTTCCTGTCAACCTCGCTTCATGGAGGCACTTGAGATGCGTTAAGAAACTGTCGCAGACCGTGCAAGAGAACGGTCCTTTGTCAGAAGCGGCCTTCCCAGCCGTGCAGGAGAATGGAGAAGTAGACGTCCCGGAAATCGTTGAAGAGGTCATCGACAAGCTCTTGGAGGGCCTTGAAAATTGCTCTCTTAACGTCAGGTTGTGATCTACAGTTCTATATTTCATAGCTGCTTTCATTCGATCTCATTTGCATGGGCTAAATGTAAAAAGAGTGCATCTGTGTAACTACCCATTTCCTAAAAATTGCCAAATGAAGGAAATAAATGTGCAATGATATTTTTATTTTATCAAAACTTTCACATGTAGTATGTAAATTGGATGGTTTTTTTCAGAAAGCAAAGACTTTTCAATGCTGACTCCAAATATGTTGAAGATTTATTCAGTTTCTAAAGTTTTCGTAAAGATTGGAACAAATAATGCTAGTGTTGAAAAGAAGACAAGTGTGTAAGTGCATAAGCCAACTAATGCTTTCTTTTTATTTTCAAATATTTTTGAATGGCGTTTGGTATTTTATTCGATTCGTAATAGAATTTTACTATTTGAATTTCCTAAAGACGAATGTAGTGTAGGTCCAAGTAAGTGACCCCTTCAAATCTTAAATTTTATTAAATTCCAGAGGTCACACTCGGCAAGCAAAACAACAAAATTTTAACCTGCCAATAGTACACAATGTCTACGGCTGTCGAACAGTACACTTTCTTGCTGCTAAAATTTGGAACAGTATTGCTACCCTAATTAAATGTCGGCCAAATATGATGCAGTCACTCAGGAAACTCTTTCTTTTGGAGAGTTACCAGTTGCCATATTAAAATTGTGGAAATGTGTGTACATGTCACATTATTTCGGGTTTTTTCCCTACATGACTGTGTTTGATTTTGTGATCTGTGATGGAATTTTCTGTGTAAAGATTTTACTCGCTAATTAAACAACATGCCTTGTCCATAACGAATCATTAACTAGCCATGGCAGCTATGGGTCTGGATTTTTTTGTAGAAATGTTTGGTAAATAATTTAATGAAGAATAAAGCATTCTTCTTCAGAGTGGGGTAGTTAAAAATGCTACTTTTATTGAAATAGCAGTGCTCACATTCACTCTGCACGATTTAGAGAATGTTGAATGCTTTGTACATTTTTTTTTTCTAAATGATAGCCTTCTTTTTCATACTGTTCCGAATTAGGTCTCTTTGTGATAAAAAAAAAATTTTTTTTCCCCATAGCCTGCTCCAAATTTAGATATTAAGGTTCCAGAAGTCAGATTTGCTGCTCCAAATTCAATTTCGGCTCCTGCACCGCTGTATATCTCATAAGAATATGCTTAGGAATCCTCTCCAACTTATTTTTCCGGCAGTTTTCCTTCAAACTATTTGAAAAGTATTCTAGAAGTATTCGAAAAATAATCAAAAAATATTATTTCATTCACACTCAGGTTTTAACATTAAAATTCACTTCGCGTCCATAATTTTGCTATTTGCACAGCTCTAATTTTTTACTAGTACATCTTGGAAACTTTTGTTAGTCTGCAAAGAATATATAACTGCAGTGGGGCCATGTCATAAAGCAAGTGCACAGAAATAGGATAACTGAAACAGGGATTCCCTTTCTGGCCTCAGAAAACCCCAACAGCGTTTCAGCTCTGGAACATTCGTTTGTTAGTCTAATAATCTTTAAATCTTAAATGACATGCTCATCGTGAGGAACTGGCAGTAATCTGCGAGTTCCTTGCGAGCTCCCCCATCTTTCTTATGCACTGAAAAGCATGATTTGACTTAACGGCTATCGAGTTATGCATCACATCTTGTAAAATAGTGTTTTGCACGTAAATAAATAATGTTACGTGCTAATATTTTGTGGTTTGAAAAGAAGATCAAAGTCGCTTGTCAATCATTCAGTGAAATTGAGTTTGCTAAAGCCTAACATTTGTGCTGCCCACTTCCGGCACCTGCAGTACCTCAGTGTCCCGCGGAAAATCGTTCTCAGATATTCAGAAGGGGCTGCTAGTGACTAGCTACCGGGGACACAGCAGATTTTGTTCCTTAATTACTCATGCATGCACGTGCCATATAAATACAGGTATACTAGTATAATCGTTCACTGACTAAAAAAAATTACTGGCAATAACTCAGAACAGTGTGTAATGTTTTTGCACCCTTGAGAAACAATAAAAAAGGATGCACACCAGTTTTATATTCTCACTGCCCTCACTCACTCGGGCTTTTATGAATTTCCCGAATTTTAATATCGCCAGGTCAACAAGGCCACCGCGTTTGCAGTGCCTGTTCGATGATTTCACAAGCACTGCAAATGTGAATGTGGACTGTGCCATTCTCTGCACTGTGGGGGTCGTTTCAACACACTGCTTTTATTGAAATAGCAGTGGCCATGTGCGTTGTGCACAAGTTAGCTGATGTTGAATGATTTGTACATATGCTTCTTTTCTAAAAGAAGGCGTTGTTATTATACTGCTCCAAGTCTGGGATTTAATGCTATAAAAATGGATGATATTCTTTTTTCCATACCCTGCTTCAAATTTAGGTTTTTGTGAACCAAAAGCAATGCTTTGCTCTTCCAGAGATGGCTGCAAATCCTATTTCATATCTTGCACAGCTGTGATTGGCATTTCATGATTTTAAATTAGAATTAGCACAGTAACCATGTGACTACCTTATAATATGAAAATCGAAGTCATGGGTTTGATGCCCGGCTCTCGTGCCCCGCCACGGTGGTCTAGTGGTTAAGGTACTCGGCTGCTGACCCGCAGGTGGCGGGATCAAATCCTGGCTGTGGCGGCTGCATTTCCGATGGAGGCGGAAATGTTGTAGGCCCGTGTACTCAGATTTGGGTGCACATTAAAGAACCCCAGGTGGTCAGAATTTCCGGAGCCCTCCACTACGGCGTCTCTCATAATCATATGGTGGTTTTGGGACATTAAACCCTACAAACCAATCATCAAACCCGGCTCTCGTGGCCGTATAGGGTGGAGGCACATTGTAAGAAAGCCTCGTGAACTTAGGCCCTTTTAAGGAAATTTGTGTAGACGATATTTATGCGGAGTTGCCAATCTCGACGTGCTTCCTAATTACTGGCATGCGTGACCATGACTTTGATTAATGTAATTTTTCTCTACCATTGTGCTGAGTGTTCTTATTTAATTCATCATCATCATCAGCCTGACTACGTCCACTGCAGGACAAAGGCCTCTCCCATGTTCCACCAGTTAACCCGGTCCTGTGCTTGCTGCTGCCAATTTATGCCTGCAAATTTCTTAATCTCATCTGCCCACCTAACCTTCTGTCTCCCCCTAACCCGCTTTCCTTCTCTGGGAATCCAGTTAGTTACCCTTAACGACCAGCGGTTGTTCTGTCTACACGCTACATGCCCGGCCCATGTCCATTTCTTCTTCTTGATTTCAGCTATGATATCCTTAACCCCCATTTGTTCCCTAATCCACTCTGCTCTCTTTTTGTCTCTTAAGGTTACACCTACCATTTTTCTTTCCATTGCTCGCTGCGTCGTCCTCAATTTAAGCTGAACCCTCTTTGTAAGTCTCCAGGTTTCTGCTCCGTAGCTAAGTACCGGTAAGATACAGCTGTTATATACCTTTCTCTTGGGGGATAGTGGCAATCTACCTGTCATAATTTGAGAGTGCTTGCCAAATGTGCTCCACCCCATCATTATTCTTCTGGTTACTTCAATCTCGTGGTTCGGCTCCGTGGTTATTACCTGCCCTAAGTAGACATAGTCTTTTACAACTTGAAGTGCACTATTAACTATCTCGAAGCGCTGCTCTTTTCCGAGGTTGTTGTACATTACTTTCGTTTTCTGCAGATTCATTTTAAGACCTACCTTTCTGCTCTCCTTGTCTAACTCCGTAATCATGAGTTGTAATTCGTCCCCTGAGTTACTCAGCAATGCAATGTCATCGGCGAAGCGCAGGTTACTAAGGTACTTTCCATTAACTCTTATCCCTAACTGTTCCCATTCTAGGCTTCTGAAAACCCCCTGTAAGCACGCGGTAAATGGCATTGGGGAGATTGTGACCTCCTGCCTTACACCCTTCTTGATTGGTATTCTGTTGCTTTCTTTATAAAGCACTATGGTAGCAGTTGATCCCCTGTAGATTTCTTCCAGGATGTTTATATATACTTCATCGACGCCCTGATTCCGCAGTGTTTGCATGACGGCTGATATTTATACTGAATCAAATGCCTTCTCGTAATCTATGAAGGCTACGTATAGTGGTTGGTTATATTCTGAGCATTTCTCTATTACCTGATTGATAGTATGAATGTGGTCGATTGTTGAGTAGCCTGTTCGAAATCCTGCCTGTTCCTTTGGTTGATGGAATTCTAATGTTTTCTTTACTCTGTTAGCAATTACTTTTATATATAGCTTGTATACTACAGAGAGCAAGCTAATCGGCCTGTAATTCTTCAAGTCCTTGTCGTCTCCTTTCTTATGTATTAAGATGATGTTTGCGTTCTTGCAAGACTCTGGTACTCTTCCCGTCAGGAGACACCTCGTAAACAGGGTGGCTAGTTTTTCTAACACAATCTGCCTCCATCTTTCAGCAGATCTGATGTTACCTGATCCTCACCAGCAGCTTTGCCTCTTTGCATGCTCTCCAAAGCTTTTGTGACTTCTTCTATCATTACTGGTGGGGTGTCATATGGGTTAGTGCTAGTTCTTACAGTATTAATGTCGTGGTTGTCCCGGCTATTGTACAGATCTCTGTAAAATTCCTTTGCTATTTTAACTATCCTATCCATATTTGTAGTTATTTTGCCTTCTTTGTTCCTTAGTGCATACATCCGATTTTTGCCTATCCCACGTTTCCTCTTCACTGCTTTGACGCTTCCTCCGTTTTTCAGAGCGTGTTCAATACTCTCCATGTTATACCTTCTTACGTCGGATACTTTACGCCTATTAGTCAACTTCGAAAGCTCTGCCAGTTCTACTTTGTCTGTTGTACTTGAGACTTTCATGATTTGACGCTCCTTAATGAGATTCTTCGTTTCCTGGGAAAGCTTGCCAGTGTCCTGTGTAACTACCCTTCCTCCAACTTCCACTGCACACTCCATAATGATACTCGTCAGATTATCATTCATTGTATCTATACTAAGGTTGGTTTCCTCATTAGGAGCCGAGTACCTGTTCTGAAGCGAGACTCTGAATTCCTGTACTTTTCCTCTCAGTGCTAGATCATTGATTGGCTTCTTGCGTATCTGTTTCTGTCGTTCCTTTCTCAAGTCTAGGCGAATTCGAGACCGTATCATTCTATGGTCACTGCATCGTACCTTGCCAACCACTTCCACATCCTGCATGATGCCTAGGTGTGCATTCATTATAAAGTCTATTTCGTTCTTATTTTTGCCATTAGGGCTCCTCCATGTCCACTTGCGGTTTCCTCGTTTTCGGTAGAAGGTATTCAAAATCCGTAAATTATTGCGTTCTGCGAATTTACTAGTAGCTCTCCTCTGGCATTTCTAGTACCGATGCCATAATCTCTTATTTAATTATCACATACTAATGAAAGTTTTATTGTCTGCAGATTAAGTAGTAACAAATTAAATGAATTGTTAGCGCTGCCGGTGAACTGACAATGAAGGCAGGGGTACAGGTGAGATAAATAGTCTAGTTTTTTCAAGAAAATATAACAATTCAACAGTTTTTCCACCTTTAAAACTTGCCAAGCGGCTTCATGTTCGCTAAGCATCTTACATGCTGGTTTTGCTGCTGCTCGTGGAATGCTCAGGTTTATTGTACCACGTCTGACCGGAGTGTGTTTGGTTGTTTGCAGATGGTCAGCTGCAAAAGGCATGGGCCGTATTGCGAGCAGGCTTCCGAAGGAGTTTGCCTGTGAGGTTGTCTCCTCGGTATTCTCTGTATTCGAGAGGCAAAAAAGTGAGAGTTCACTTCATGGGGCGTGCCTCGCCTTAGGTGAACTTGGTACGTATTTGTTTGGTGTTTAAGGGCACGGAAGTTTGGTCAATCTGGTATGACATCACGAGATAACTTCACAGCACCGAAAAGGGGGAGGGGGGGAACACCACAAGCACAGGCTTGAAACTCAGTTCAGGTATTACAAAAAAGAACGGTAAAGCAAAACCTACATCCAACGTCGCTTTTCTTTTCAACTCTTTATTGTAACAAATTCAGTTTCGAGTTGGTACTCATAGTGTCCGCTCTTTCTCATCTGTTTTTGTTTTCGGCGCTGTAATGTTATTCTGTGTTTCATTGTGTCAGAACCTCGTTGATAGTTCCTGCTTAGTACGATTTCCTGGCTTCTATGTTTGCAATTGCGAGAACTAAAAGTAACCTTATAAATGCAGGTGTATTACATTTCAGATAGCACCTTCCTCTCCAAAGTACGATCATTCTGCGACCAGAGACCCTCATTCAGGTGTGCCAAAAAGGCTTTCTCGAGTACTTGTAAGGTGCAGAGTGCTTGACAGCTACCCTGCAGCAACGGCGGCGACTTCTCTGCAGTGCCTAATTTCCTCTTCTCATGCCGCTTTGCTCAGTTGACCGCTCCACGTCTTCTCCAAATCACTCTACCGTCTCTTCTGTGTTTTCTTGGAACAGCTCAGTCAGCACTTTCTGTCGACCACTCACACACTCGAAAGCAGGCGGCGACCCTGGCTGCCAAAATCTTCAAACGGCTTAAAAAAAATTTCTTTTCTGTGTTACTTGGCAGGATTTCGCTGAGCATAGCAAGTCCTTCATCTGTTGCACAGTACATACATCATCTATTTGTTTAGGCCCCAGGGGGAATACTGCGGAGCTGACAATGCGTTACAAAGAATTGATGGTGGCTGTCACTTCACCAGTCCACAACGGTTCTGTATGAGACCTACGAAAATGCACATGCTGCCGCTCCACAATGTGCCGCAACGTGTAACCATAGTAACGTGGCCTTTGTGCCCAGTGGATATGGCTGACAAGATGTCCGTTACTCCACTCTTTTTTTGTCAGAGTGCGTTCGTTTCCAGCTCCGTGCATTAGGATTGTATGTTTTCCTGGATCATACATTTGTTGTCCGTCTTTTTTTTTCAAATGTAACAATGCTCTATTGTATTCACGGCTTACTTGAGCATACATTTGGCCTGTGAAGCGGCAAGGCTGAAAGCTAGAATGGCTGATGTATGATTGAAGGTGAATAAGTGGCTAAAATGCTGACTAAAGAGCAGGCTAAAATGCAATGTACAGACAGACAACTAGACAAAGCTGGTTGTGCAGTCGAATGTTTATTGCCACAAAAGCAGACAAGTTACCTTTTGCATTCCTCCGGTGTGTGCTTGAAAGCTGTTTCATAATGAGTGCAAGAAACCTAATCAATAATATAGTCAGATAGAAAAACTTCAGCTTCTGGCTTTTAAAGACACTTTGAACTAACTTCCAGAACGAGGCTTGCATGAACAGTGAATTTTAGGTTTGAAGGGAGCGGCAATTTGGTTTGAATAACTTCTAATAGAATTTGATTAATTCATATCTGGTATTATAGGCAAAAATGAGCATATTGGCCCAAAAATGTTTTTAAAAATATAAAACAAGGTTTGTGCCAGTGCCATTCCTTGTTGTTCAGAGGAAGTGGAAACAACTTTTGAGAAGTAGCAAGATTTGACTTTCAGTAAAATGCGAGTCATAACCTGTAAAATGTATTAAGTTTTAAAAGCTACGAAGAGCATATAAGCTGGTATAACAAGCCCTTAAGCTTGAAAAATTATGAATCGATGTGAGCGCAATATATGGCCATTGAACCTTGAAGTGAGGCTTTGTGGGAGTGATTATCTTTGGTTTGTGTATGCACAGCATAGCACTCCTCCACTGCAGTGGAACCGCCTTTACAGGAAGGAAGAGGGGGGTGACACTAAAGCCCCTAAACCTTCGTAAAGTAGCGACGTACATGATTATTCACGCTTCTCTTTTCCTTTTCTTCTCCTCCGACTTCCTCGAGGCCGGCACCACGGCTGTATTGGCCAGATGCCGTCACGTGGGATCGCTCGCAGTGTTCGTTTGTTTACAGTCACTTGCGACAGCCATCTTTGCTCTGGAGGCGCAGACTCCTTCGGGCACAGCGCATCTGTTTGGTCGAATACGAACTTATCCTTCCTTGCGCACTGTGCTGTGAAATACTTTTCATCCAAGAATGACGGCGCTGTTCATTGCCGTGGGCGGCTGTTGCGCCTTCTGCTGCCAGAACATTTCTAGTGACAGCCGAAAGCTCTATATGATACCATCCGTTAAGCGCAACGAGTTGAGACAAAAGACATGGTTACATAGAATCGGAAGTGAAAATTTCAGGCCGACATATTCGAATTGACTTTGCAAAGTGTGTTGCGTGTCTCTAATTATCAATATGGTTCGATGTTTGCTCAATTAAATGCCTGCTCTGACGCTCTAGATAAGCTGCAGTTAATTGTGTAGGGCGTCGCAATCTTTTGTGCGGTGTTCACTAACGCTAGTGCGGGGGCTGTTTTTTTCAACAATACATGCTTACGTGTTCTGCTTGTCACTATGCGTCGACTGGTTTGAGTTCACGGTACTGGTTTGTATCCTTATAATATATGTGGAAAAAGGCTTGAAATTGTGATTGTGAAACTTTAGAGAGATTTCCCGTTCCTGTTTTGAATAAACAGAACTGGAGTGCAGCAACTCACATTAAGATTGGTACTCTTCGTAGCTTTTTTTTTGTTTTTTTTTTTGACGTGCTTATATATTTCAGAGCAAACAGCTCTCTGTGGCTCTTTTGATCTTGACTGATCAGCTGGGGGACTCGCGATGCGAGGGCAGCTATGCAAAGTGTGCATGCCTTCAAGTCATTGGGTGCGTGCATCGTTTAGGAACCTCACACATACGTGTCATTTCGCGTGATGGTTCATTTCCTGCTTCGTGTGTAGGTTTATATCCGTGAGTAGAGCTCTCATGAAGGGATCGCGTATGGTGGCACGCTAGTTCATTCATGCGCTAGCTCATTCTCTAAGCGATATAGTTTGTATGTGAGATACGTCCACAAGGCGTACTTCCGAAATATGATTGGTGCGTCTAACCACTTCACGAAACAACCAGAGCTGTTCGAATGTATCAACCGTGTGCCTTCTGGCACATTATTAAGGCCTTAGATGCCTCACCAAAAGCTAAAGTTGGCCGTCGGCCACATCGCTGTCCCGCGTTGACACTGTCAACGCGGGACGTATAGCAATAAAGTGTTGCTGTTGACCTAGCTCTTGCCTTATTTGCCCTGAACATGTGTAGCTGCAATGACTCAAGCTACAGATAGGGGACGTTAATATTGCACTGGTACGACTGTGTGCGGCTGGAACATTAGCTAGGCTTCTGTGTCAGTCATATTCTGTGTCAGCCGTACATAGGACGGACCCCCTACTTGCGCCCAACGTAACGAGTTTGGCAACGTGGCTAATTTCGTGCGTGCGAGCAAATACCGATGTTCCTCCACATGTAGGACAACAGGCATGTCAGTTGTTGCTTTCACTGCATGACAGTCACTGTGAATGCTCCTTGCACATATTGTATACCCTATATACTGCGAAGCTTGCAGCACCCATGTGCTGAGTAAGAAAAGACAGTTGAAATGTCCCTTCGGACAGTTGTCGCACCAGCTAACAGAAATATAAGCCATAACAGCTGCACATGATTGTTTGAGTGATGTTATTTACAGTGTAAAACTTATTCGGAGATGCGCTAAATAATGGGCCAAAAAAAAAAAAAAAGGCGATTCTCACTAATAATCACATTTTTATGTTCAGGAACATGCATACTAAGGGGTACTAAGTCACTGCGATGTCAAGTGACTCGATGAAGAGCTGATCATGAGTACATGTTGCGCATGGCACTAAACAGAGCTGTTATAGGCTAATGCTACACTTGTCAAGATAATTTTAGGATGAGTTAGCAGCTGGCGCAGATGCTCTCAGCATTCTGCCTGCCGAGCAAGCGCTCTCTTCACGAAAGGGCGTCTGCTACGCAGGAGCAAGGCAGGTAATGCCACATCAGAAATGCAAGGGCGAAGGAGAAGAGATGGAGGATGAACGCGAGCGAAGGAGGAGAGTGTCGCTACTTAGCGAAGCTTTAGGGGCTTTAGGTGACACTGGATTTAATATGTACCTATTCGTCCATTCCGAATACTTAGAAATTTTGGCAAATTTAAAATCGTGTCGAAGGGAATTAGAATGCTGTGATATTCCGTCAAATAGTGGGAAGGGCTCATATATTCGCGCATGTGCAGTTCACAATCCTTTAGCGTAAATCTTCATTCTTCTTGTTCAAGGTCGTCGAGGCACCCTGCTTCCCGAGCAGCTGCCCAATGTGGTGTCTTCCGTGTTGCCTTGCATTGAGTTTGATGAACAGCTTGGCAAGCAGTGCTTTGGCCGTGTGGTTCGTGATGCGGCCTGTTACGTCTGCTGGACCTTGAGCCGCTCGTACGACCCCTCTCACCTGGCGCCGTTTGTGAATGCCGTTGCTTGTGCCCTTGTCTGCATCACTCTGTTTGACAGGTGACAAAATTGACTTGCTTTTAAAATTGTTGCTAGTTGCTTCTTTTATCTGTTGTACAGTTTGCACAGTTTTTTTTTTCCACCTCCTAAAAGCAGCAGCTGTCGAGATCTGTTGCCATTTTATTTTTTTGCACTCTGGCTATGTCCAACACGGCAAGTTCTGCTTAGTGTTTTGAGCATTTTTGCTAAATTGCACTAACTTGAGGTATCAAGTTGTTTTAGCATAAATAAGATTTCTTGTTCATGTGGAGGGCTTAATGATTGTTTAGAGCGATTGTGCACAATGTCCTAAAGGTGCTTGATTGATTCACTAAATTGACGGTGTTGTGTTGCAGTTCTGAACATTACCTTCTGTACATTATTTAGACGTTACATTGGGACAGTATTTTTATTGCAACTGAAATGATCCCCAAGTAATATGTATATAAATAAGCATTGAGTTATAACAGGACTAAACGAGAAAAAAAATTATTGCCCCATTTATTTTCTTTTGGTAACGAAACTATCATTGTCAAAATAATTACATTTCGAGTCTAATGATACTATGAGCATTGTTTTATACCAGGGTATATTTTGCGCATATTTTTGCAATGAATTTGCATTGTTACGATCATTATGGTAGCCTACAATTCACTTGCGGGCATTCTTTGTCATTTGCAGAGAGGTCATGTGCCGTCGCGCGGCTGCCGCGGCGTTCCAGGAGTGTGTGGGAAGGCTCGGCACGTTTCCGCACGGCATCGAAATCATCACCGTGGCCAACTACTACTCTTTGGCGCTAGTGCAAAACTGTTATCTCAGTCTCAGGTCAGTGCCACCTTGTGAAAAAAAAACTAATGATAAAGTCGCAATTTCGCTTCAAGGGGGAAGCAGTAAATGCGACAGCAACGGATAGGAGTTCATACGAAGTAAGGCTGCGAGTTCACTCCTTTAACATCTGACCTAGCGTCGCTCAACAAAACGCCGGCATAAGGAAATGTAGCTACTGCAGGAAGGGAAGCGATCTTCGTGCTAATCATGGGTTGAACGTAACCGGCAATGAGATTGCAGCACATACAAAGGTATGAGCCATCTGCATATACCTGTTAAAACGAGGTGTTCGCAACTGTGCCTAGCCAATCAACGTACGCAGCTCCTGCTGAAGCCATGCAGGAAATTCTCTTCCCCCACCTCTCCCTGGCCCTTTTGTACGACAGAAAGTGGCCGACATGTTCCCGCTCTGCTTGAACCACAGTCCTTGGCTGCCGTCACATGCTCTTGCTTGCACACAGACCTTATGAAGCGTATGACGATGTTAGCACTTTTGAATTTGGCACGGAACCTCAAGTTAACGATAAATGAAAATGCACTTTGAATGTGCATAATGGTAATTGCTATCGCAGTAAAAGAAACAAAGCCTTAGCAGTACTTACATATAACTACAGTGTCTGTTATTGACTAACAGTGAGTGCAAATGCGTCAGTTAAATAAAGCAATGACACCCAGAAAGGTAAGAAACGTGCGATCGCAGGCTCGGCGCAGAGAAAGAACTCCTTTCCTCGGCGATGGCGGCGGCAGCAACAAGGAGGTCGGAGAAGGAGAACATCCACGTGGAGAGAGCTGTGGCTGTACGACACGCGCTCACATGTTCCCGCTGAGAAACGGCATTGGTCATGAGAGCTGCTCTCTTCGCGAATGGGAGTCTTGGTCGTCATTTTGTTTTTTTACTTTTTCCCCTGCTTGCTTCTTTGCAGCCGATAGCCGATCTCAAAACTCTCTCGCTCTCTCATTTTCTTCTTGTTTGCTTTGCCACGCGCTCTGCGGGTCGAAGTGCGGGTGATGCCGCGGGCCATTCTTTTGTCGCTGCCTCCCTCCCTCCGCCGTGGCGCGAATTCGCTTCGCGCCGTTGCTGCTTTTGTATTTTCTTTCTCTCCGGCCGCGGGAATGCCCCCCAAGATTGCCATAATTCCTCTGTAGAATCGCCTCGGTCTCCCGGCCTTCGCGAAAGTGTTCGTCAAAGTTAAATAAGCAATGACACCCAGAAAGGTAAGTGCAATATATTTTCAAAAATTTGGCTTTACCTGAAGAAGTTTTGGTGATACAGTGCAATCTGGCATTAGTGAGAGTAGGGGAATATTACGAGTAATGCTAAAACTGCGCATTCGAACTGCAGTAAAACCGGAGTCCTTCAATACTTTTGCTAGTCACAAAGCTTCGGTGAAAGTTTGATATAGGGACAAGCGCAACTGCTAGGGGTGCCCTCGCCCACGGCAGGGCATCGGAGCGGCTGCGATGCTGAAATTGTACGACACGTGCCGGAGCTGTGAAACATAATCTGGCCGTGAAGGTTGAATATGTCTTCAGAGTGATGTCAGCTTCAAAGCAATTCGTGGAAGCTCTGATACAGTGAAATTTAACGTCGAATGAGGCCTTCAAGGTATAAATTTGAAGGCATGCTGATTCCACTGTTAGATGTGCTGCTGCTATAAAAGCATGCTTCTTTTCTTTTTTTTCTTTTTTGTGAAGCATGTAGTGAAAATCCAGAGTTCTTCAACGACTCTGTGGCGGAGCACGTGCATCCAATCACACTTTCTCCTTCTGGCCTAGTTGCAGGGACATGACTGTCCCTTTGAAACACTAGTCAATAAAGCCTCTTGTGAAGGGATGGAACACCCCTGCGGCCGGCACTTGCGATCTCCCTTTCCCGGCGCACGGAACGGGTTTCCCCTCCCTCAGCGAGGGAACATATTCTCGTCAGGGAAGGGAAACTGGTACGGTGAAGAAAACTAGTGTGCCGATGACCGGACACTCGCTCTGACACTGGCCTCGAAAGAAGAAGGTCGAACCCAGAACCTCCTGCGAGCCAAGGACGCCCGAAGTGTAAGCGTCTACACTTTTGTTATTTGAAATCTATGCTACATTTACGCGTTATTTCTAATGTATAGCAATAAAGTGTTGCTATTGACCTAGCCTGTTGCTTTATTCGCTCGAACCCTTGTAGCTGCAATGGCTCAAGCTACAGATAGTGGACGTTAATTGTGCACGGTACGACTGTGTGGGGCTGGAACATTCGCTAGGCTTCTGCGTCAGCCATACATAGGACGGACCCCCTACTTCTGGCGCCCAACATAACGAATTTGGCAACCTGGCTAGTTTTGTGGACGCCCTCCATATGTAGGACAACAAGCATGTCAGAATTCCAAGATTTGTCCATGTTGTCTGATATCGCTTCGCAGAGTGGAGATCCTTTGGCTAACGCCGGGGCACTGTTAGGACTTTCCAACAGCGTAGACTTTGGTCATTTCACACGGGACGACCAGTAGGGTGCAGAGACTGCGTTAGCGCAGATAGATTAGGTCTAGGACGGAAAGCATCACGCATGGCGCTACGTCATCTCGCGACATGAACTGAGAGGTGCCGCCACATGTAGCTATGACACACGCTGAACTGTGGACAAGTCTGCGAGCAACAGTTTGCCCTCGAGCGAGGTACCCCTACAGAATGTGCTGTCAGTTATGCTAAGCCCGGCGAGCGCCCTGCAGAACACAGCGCAGGCCCCCGTGCAGACTGTGTGACTACGTGTCAAGGTAGACATGCCTACCTACACGGGTTACCATGACTGCAAGAGTGCCAAGGAGTATTTCGACCTGTTGCTCCACTATCTGCAGGCAACAGGGCTTTCTGACGTCGAACATCTCTTGTGCGTGGTCCTGGTGTCGCTCACGGAGCAGGGGGCTGGATGGTTCCGACTAATCGGACATCGCGCCCGCATGGTAGAAGAGTTGCGCGACAGCTTCCGCGGTGAATTCCTACCGGCTAATTATGAGTGGCATTTGTGGAGGGAATTGGAGCTACACACCCAGTATTCATACGAATCCTTGCTGGAGTATGTACGGGCAATGCCGCTGAACCACATCAGACACCGCGCTGCGATCAGTAATTCTGCGGATGCGTTCAGATCACTTGCACCCTTATTCTGTTGTGCAGGTGACACTGTAGACTCGCCCGCACCGCTAATCGTGTTAACAATAGATCGAAAGAAGTTCGTAGCACTTTTGGATACTGGGGAAAGCGCTTACTTATTCGGTGATGATGTGTTGCACCATCTCCGCGAGAACAATATCCGCTTGAGACAAAGCAACACGATCTACACCGTGCTACTGGCACGGTGCATCTTCCTGGGCTGTCAATGTCTCTAATCCTGGGTTGAGACTTCTTTGCTAAGTCAGGTATTGTCATTGTCATTGTGAACGGCGGTTACTGAGAGCGCGACGTAGACGTGCTAAAGCTTTTCTCGAAGGCTTCCGCATGGACAAAGACATGCCAACCGCAGGGAGAGGTGCGAGTATGCGAGGAGGAAAGCGCGCTGAGAAAGCGAGTAACCACCCCGCCGAAACATTGTGCCGTGCTACAGAGAAGGTCAGTGCTCTCGCTTTTGGTAGAGGCACAGAGCCTGCAAAAAGGGGAACGAGCGCAGCAGTCGTTGCTGTTGTACGAGTACGACGCGATGTTCACTGACCGCCCCAGCCGTACTACGCTTGTCACGCACAGAATTGACACAGGTGATGCACGACCCCAGAAATGCAATCCCCGACAGATCAACTTGGCTAAGCGGAAAGCTCTTGACGCTGGCTTGGACGAACTTATCGACACAGGCGTAGTTGAGAGGTCAGACAGCCCATGGGGTGTCCCGGTATTTCTTGTTTCAAAGAAATATTATACGTATCACTCTTATGTAGACTACCGCAGGCTGAATGAGGTTACAAAGAAGGACACATAACCTCTTCCCTCCATTTCATCATTAGTATCTGACCTAGGCGCGGCGAAGTAGTACTTCACTACGCTCGATACTAGCCGTGGATATTTTCAGGTTGAGATGAACGAGGGGGATAAAGAAATCGGCTTTCACATGCCACAGAGAACTTTTTTCAATTCAGGTGAATGTCTTTTGGCTTGGTGGAAGCTGCCGCTATGTATCAGAGGCTAATGGACCGTGTTCTGGGAGACACAAAGTGGCAGCACGCACTCGCATATCTAGACAACGTAGCGGTTTACTCGAAAACGTTCGAGGAGCACTTGCGCCACTTGAGAGACGTTCTACAGACGCTGAAGTCTGCGGGCATCACTCTGAACCCAAACAAAGCTCAGATAGTGGTGACCTGAATAACATTATTGGGATTCACTCTTTACGAGGGTCGCATTTTGCCGGATAAGGGTAAGCTTGAAGTGATAGTCAGCTATCCATCGCCGAACAATATCGGTGAGCTGAGGCACTTTCTGGAGATGGTGAACTTTTATCGCCGGTTCATTCCAGACTGCACGACAGTGCAGGTGCTTTTGATAAAGCTCTTGAAGAATAGCAAGCGTTGGGCTTGGAGCCAAGAGCAGGAGGCCGCACTGTGTCACCTCACGAAGTTGCTGGCCAACACGGCTCAGCTGCAGCTACCCGATTTGAACAGTGAGTTTGTGATTCACATAGTCGCAAGAAACCTAGGTTTAGGAGCGATTTTGCTTCAGGAGCATGGAGGTTCTCTTCGACCGATTGCGTTAGCAAGCCGTTCGTTGACGCCGGCGGAGAAGACTTACTCGATAACCGAGAAAGAGTGCCTCATGATAGTTTTCGCTCTCTGTAAGTTTGGCTTTTATATCGAAGGAGTTGCGTTTGTGATTGAGACTGACCACATGGCGCTCACATGGTTGAGGCACATGAACGAACCAGGTAGCCGCCTGGCGCGTTGGGTATTGCTGCTGCAGTGTTCTGTCTTCATCGTTCGCTACCGCAAGGGTACGAACAATGCCGCAGCCAATGCACTATCGCGTGCTCCAAT